TATCAACAACTCAGGTTTGATCTTGTGTTGTGTATCAATTAGTCAGGTTTGATCTTGTGTTGTGTATCAACTAGTCAGGTTTGATCGTGTGTTGTGTATCAACTAGTAAGGTTTGATCTTGTGTTGTGTATCAACTAGTCAGGTTTGATCTTGTGTTGTGTATCAACTTGTCAGGTTTGATCTTGTGTTGTGTATCAACTTGTCAGGTTTGATCTTGTGTTGTGTATCAACTTGTCAGGTTTGATCTTGTGTTGTGTATCAACTAGTCAGGTTTGATCTTGTGTTGTGTATCAACTTGTCGGGTTTGATCTTGTGTTGTGTATCAACTAGTCAGGTTTGATCTTGTGTTGTGTATCAACAACTCAGGTTTGATCTTGTGTTGTGTATCAATTAGTCAGGTTTGATCTTGTGTTGTGTATCAACTAGTCAGGTTTGATCGTGTGTTGTGTATCAACTAGTCAGGTTTGATCTTGTGTTGTGTATCAACTAGTCAGGTTTGATCTTGTGTTGTGTATCAACAACTCAGGTTTGATCTTGTGTTGTGTATCAATTAGTCAGGTTTGATCTTGGGTTGTGTATCAACAACTCAGGTTTGATCTTGTGTTGTGTATCTACTAGTCAGGCTTGATCTTCTGGTCAGGTTTGATCTTGTGTTGTGTATCAACTTGTCAGGTTTGATCTTGTGTTGTGTATCAACTAGTCAGGTTTGATCTTGTGTTGTGTATCAACTAGTCAGGTTTGATCGTGAGTAGTTAGGTTTCCCCTGCTGTCGGAGTTGTTGTGAGCAAAAGAATTAGTAAAATGTGCTTAAAGATTTACAAATGTAAATTTCCGACATTGTATTTTGAATTTTTATTCAATGTAATGATGGTATGAAAGAAAACACTTAAGTTAATTAATATATTAATAACATAAGATGATAAAAATTGCTGGTTATGCAATGTTTAATTTAAATTTTATAATAATAACTTAAATAACATTTCTTTTCATTGAAAGGTGATAGGTAGACAGTCATAACAAATTGCGATTAAAGAATAGAACGCCAACATTTTGCACGGTTTAAGATTTTATTTTATAAACTAAACACAACTAATATGATAATACATTAGGGTAACGACCTAACGATATCACTACGATAAAATAAAATGGGAGTGTTCTCACCTAAACTTTCTAGAATATTCTTATATAAAACAACAGGTGATGGGAACTCGGGCTATAGAGATGATTTTTAATCAATTTTAAATACTTTAAGTTTTAAAAATAGAATAAAATCTCGTAGACAAAAGAAGTGCACACCAAGTGAACGCCAAATAAAAAGTGCATAATATTGCGCAATATTATTAGTACTTTAAAAATTTACATTAGTTTTTTGAGAAATCGGAAGTAGCGTAAATTACTTCTTCCGGTCAACGGAAATTACTCAAAATTTAACAGAAGGTAGAGAATTAGATGTTTGACGTACGAGTGAAATTTCATTTATCTATCTGAAATAGTACTCAAGTTATAGGCTTTTGAAAAATTCAAAGTAGAAAAAGTACCATTTTCGGTTATCGGAAATAGCTCAAAAGTTAAAACGGATCTACGATTTTGATAACATACTTATATATAAAATTGCATCGACATAGCTGTAACGGTACTCAAGTTATCTTGTTTACACACAGACACACAGACACAGACACACAGACACACGGACAAGATTGCAAAATTATGTTTTTCCGTATCAGTGAGATATAAAACGTCGAGATTTAAAAAAAAAATTTTTTTGCACGAGTACAAGACTTTTTCTATACTTCGTATAGATCTATACGAGAAAGTAAAAAGAGGTAAGTAATAAATGACGTCCTTTTAAACGAAACGAAGTACAGATCCGTTCATTTGCAGTTGATAGTAGTCAAAACGGTGCTAGCTTTTCTAATCATGTTGCGAATCCAAAGTCACACATATATTATTTTATTTCAAGGCCGATTTTTTAGCAGCTCAAACTACCAGTAACACTTTAGCTGTTCTGTGGAGTGGAATTCATTTAGAGCTAGATCTAGAACCCACCTATAGAGGCGACACTTGGCAAACTTTTGGAACAATTTCCATCTGATGGGGTTGTCAGGACGCTGAGCTGTCCAAAAAAATAATGACAGATTTAACCAATACCACCAGAGCAACACTATACGTGGTCATGTAGGCCATGGTTGATTGGCGTAACATAACCAAATGATTTTTTTTACACGCATTGTGGTGTAATTTTGAAATACCATAGCATAATGTTCAGAGTCCCACACACAGTTTTCATGGTGGTTTTACTTACACAACTATTGAAGCAATTTACTTCGATCTAACACATATTACATCTGGTGATGTATTTGGTTTCATTAAGATTGTTGTAACGTTTCGCCCTAAATCCCCCACCGAGTCTATGTAACAAATAGTCAGTTCTCAACTTGTGTTTAGGCTATGTATCAACTAGTCCGTTCTGAACTTGTGTTTAGGCTATGTATCAACTAGTCAGTTCTGAACTTGTGTGTAGGCTATGTATCAACTAGTCAGGTTTAAACGTGTGTTTAGGCTATGTATCAACTAGTCAGTTCTGAACTTGTGTTTAGGCTGTGTATCAACTAGTCAGTTCTGAACTTGTGTTTAGGCTATTTATCAAATAGTCATTTCTGAACTTGTGTTTAGGTTGTGTATCAACTAGTCAGTTCTGAACATGTGTTTAGGCTATGTATCAACTAGTCAGTTCTGAACTTGTGTTAAGGCTATGTATCAACTAGTCAGGTTTAAACGTGTGTTTAGGCTATGTATCAACTAGTCAGTTCTGAACTTGTGTTTAGGCTATGTATCAACTAGTCAGTTCTGAACGTGTGTACAGTCTGTATATCAACTAGTCAGTTCTGAACTTGTGTTTAGGCTATGTATCAACTAGTCAGCCCTGAACTTGTTTTAGGCTATGTATCAACTAATCAGGTTTGATATTGATTTTAGTTTGTGTATCAACTTGTCAGGTTAAATATTGTGTTAGGGTTGTGTATCAACTAGTCAGCTCTGAACTTGTGTTTAGGCTATGTATCAACTAGTCAGGTTTGATATTGTTTTTAGTTTGTGTATCAACTTGTCAGGTTAAATATTGTGTTCGGGTTGTGTATCAACTTGTCAGCTCTGAACTTGTGTTTAGGCTATGTATCAACTAGTCAGGTTTGATATTATTTTTTGTTTGTGTATTAACTTGTCAGGTTAAATATTGTGTTCGGTTTGTGTTTCAATTAGTCAGTTTAAACTTGTGTTTAGGCTATTTATCAACTTGTCAGGTTTGATCGTTGATACCCGGGTCTCCCTGACTATCGATGCTCTAATGTGTACCTGCCACACAGATACTTGAACACCGTAAAAGTTATTCAAAACCTTGCATGGTGGTCTATTCCACAGCTCGTAGCATCGCGTCTGTATCCATACAGGGATGTTCAAGGATACCGACGAAAACATTATTTTAAGATAATTTCTAGCGTTTCTTAATGTAAAATATTTATAAAACTTTATTTTATCCTAATATTTTCAACAAGCTATAATTTACAAATTCGATTTTGTAATGTTTGTCAAAATTTTATATTTATTTGTTATTCGATTAAATGATTATAGGCCTATACGTGGAGCTATGAATGTATTTTAATTTCCAGCCTTAAGAGTTTCCTTTAGCTAACTCTTTTCTTTAATAAGTCATCCCTTCATGTACAATTCTTTAGACCAATATTTCACGACAACTGAAGTTTAAATCACTGCCTTCTTTCATCCACCCTGAGGATTAACAATTAATGTGAAATAGAAGTTTTGAATTAAGTAAATGCAAACTAGTGTGACAGTGATAACCGTGCTCGAGGGTCCAATATAAATTAATGTAATACCTAAATAGTAATATAGTACAACACCAAACAGTTGCTAACATTTCAACAATAAGACCAAATAGAAGGAAAGAAAGAAAAAGAAATGTATTGAAACTTTTTCGATACTTTTAAGAGTATTGCAAGAGTAATGTCTTATTTATACGCTTATGTCAATTAATTAACTCTGAACATAACTGATTTTTTAAAAATGTACGATATTTAAGAAAGTAAAATAATTTCATTTGTAGTTGAGCAAACAGCCAGTGCTGTATCTTTATTTTTAATTTAAAATATGAGAAGAATATCTCCGCCACCTAAACAACACCAGAGTTATTGTGCCAACACCGGTCTTTTATTTACAGAGCTCATAAGTGACACAAGGTTGAGGCACCACTGGAATTCTCAACTAAACTTAAGACAGTCGCTGACTTTAGTCACCTGAACTTAAGACATTCGCTGAGTTAAGTTTATCTGTGCATTCTCCACCTGCTTCAGTCCTTCCTGTACCTGTTTCAGGCTTTCCGAAAGAATATTTTTGATGTCAAACGTTCCCCCTCCTTGTTGTGCTTGTCCTGCCGGCTCCATTCCTCTGGGAGTCCTTTGACGTCCGCACTCCATGTCTCGCCTCTGTTGCACCAGATCTTCAAATCTCTTCTGATGATTGCGTTCTATTTCCCTCCTCTGTTGCTCATCGCGTTTTACGTCATCAATATGAGATTCATAATCCTTTTTTTTATTTTTCAGCTTTTTTATATTATCGAAGACCTGTTTAATTTCTTCTTCCTGTTGTATTTCTTCAATACATCTGCGACAGAAAGCGGGTCCTTGTTGAGATTCCAAGGTTTGAGTCGGGTCTCGAAAACCTCTTGATAATTCTTCCAGCTTGGCCAGTAAGACCTGGACAGTATTAGTTTGACTCAACATCTTGTCAAGTGTGACTAAGTCTACTGTCTCATGTAAGACTTGCGGCTGGTCAACAACTGGACGTTCATCTTTGACCGTGGTCTCGCCGTTTGTCGTGAGCACCTTTGGTTTGGCTGCCACATTATCTTTGATTTTCTGAGCCTTTTCAAAGTGAGCTTCCGTATAACGTCGATCGCTAAATCTCAACTCATCAACCATTTGAATTAAATTATCAACTTGTTCTTTTTTTCTTTTTCTTGTCTTTGGTTTTATTATCAAACAAAATCACCCTATGGCAGCACTCCTCGAGCAAATCCTTAAAGGCGCCATCTTGTTTTTGGCACCACTCTGAAAAGTCCAATCCTACTGAATCTGTTTCCTCCTGATCTTGATGAAAAACATCTCCGCATGTCAAGATTAAAATACAAAATTTTTGAACGAAATCATCTCCGAACATTTTCTTTAACAACACAACCGACTCCTGTTCTTCACGAGTAAACCTATTGCCATATTTCAGGACGAGAAGAAAAGCATGATAGCCTTTAGGATTGGCTGCCAAAGCCAATTTTGCTGCATCATTCAACTGCTCAACTGACCGTTCATTATCCAGCCATGTGTCACAAAATGCCAAACCATCCACGACTTTAATCTGACGACCCTTGTGTTCTGTGATATCGGCGTCGATCTCTTTCGTCACAGAAGATGTACCGGACTCGCTCGCAAACTTTCGTTTTCCTACAATGGAATTTCCAGTCGCACTTTTGCCATTCCCGGTTTTGCCAATCAGGAGCAGATCCATACTAGGGTGTATATTCATATTTTTCTGGAAACATAGAAGCAAAATACTGTATAGCTGCAAAATATTGGATAGCTGTAAAATATAAACATATGTAGCATCGCATACATCAAATGCAAGGTATTTTTTTATACAGTCCAATTAAAGTTTAATGCATATCTGACAGCAGGGGAAAACCGGATTTTCTATTTTTGTTCGAAATTCGATAGCTCTACAAAAAGTTGTTTTTTTCATAACAAAAAGTTAGATAAAATATACCTATTATTTCTTAGTACTCATAATTTTTAATACCATTATAAATCTGATATTTGTTATATCTTTCTTTATTCTTAAAATTTCGAATAAACATTAGCATATTTTGCAAAAAAAAGTTATCTATAACAGTAAAGTCATACTTTTGATTTGTACGGTATTGTTCCACTTATATTCAAGGAAATGTAATTACTTCACTACTAGAACCTATAATCGATTCATTATTAAATCCAACAACCAATCGTAGAAACTAGATCTAAGTCTGCTTCTATATGAAGAGGAGGCGGGGGGGGGGGGGGGGGGTGTAAAATATCACCATCAATATTACAAAAATCTATCGCTGTCTAATAGTACGCTCAGAAAGTAGCTGACGCAGATATGCTTGGGAAAAAATAGCGAAAATTCTAGGTGGAGCAAAAAAATAACTTTCAAGACATTTGCTTGATTATTTTTTTTAAAATCATAAAATTAATTTTAAAATGTTAATGTAGAATAAGTAGAATTTCTTTTTATATTTGTTTAGTTCAAACTTTTATTGGCAATGTCATCGGAGATAAATGTATATGGAAAGTTACGAAATCGTAGAGTTAAAAGGGGTTCGAAATTGAGTTACTAGATTTGCTAAAAATGCTGTAAAATAATAATTGAGCCATCCGTATTATACTTTAATGTAATGTAAGTATATCACTTTACTAGCAACTCTACAAAGCATCAAACTAAATTCTATAACTCTTATTAGACTTACCCTTAGGTTATCTTCGTGCCTTACAGTATATGCCCTGCTAGTTATTGTCTTGCCACCTTGTATGTATATGGAAAAAGGGGCATTGCCATTATATATATATATATATATATATATATATATATATATATATATATATATATATATATATATATATATATATATATATATATATATATATATATATATCCTTTAAATCATACATGTTTTTTAACAATATAAATATATTATTAATAAAGACCCTATATACCGTATATATATATATATATATATATATTTATATATCTATATATCTATATATATATCTATATTTATATATATATATATATATATGCATATACATATACATATACACAGAACTAATCGAAGAAAACATTAAGATAAAAAGATTTCTTTACAACTTAATTTATAGTCATTATTTATCAAATTTTAGCTATTTGGCATATATATTATTTGTTTGATTTAATTTTTTAACATGCGGAAGTGCTAAGCAAATACATTGGGTCCAAAGGATAAAAAGATTGTTGCGATTGAAAATATTAATGCGTTTTAATGCATTATGTAGCATTAACGGAACAATATATTTTGTATCAAATTTAATTACCAATAATATTATAAATCTACAATAGTATACTATTGACAGATCCCCAGTTTAGGAATAAAAGCCAATAAATTAGAAAACTATTTTTATTCATTCTTTCAATGAAAATTTGTTACTAATTAGCAAGTGCATCGATACAAACTTTCATAATTTTTGTCGAACAATAAAATTCAAAAATTCAAATAAAGTAGCTTTAAAAAATTACAAAGTCTAGGTTCCAACAATATTATAAATTGTCTATAGCTAACGATTTTTAGATCATCTGTTTTCGAGAACATCAATGGAGTTGTTTGGGCATTTAATCACCATTTCTTAAAATCCCGAGGTCAAGAACTATTTTTCACCTGCCCTATATTTTTAATTCTGAAAGAGGAGCCTTACTCGTATTAGGGCATTAAATATGGTGTGTTATTGGCGTAAAATCTATATATTTCAGCTTGTATGTTTTTAAAAATATGCAAACGTTATAAGTGATATGTCGAAGTTAGCACTTGCACAACCTTCACCCCAACAAAATACATAACCTTTTGTTTCTTATGAGCCCCCCCCCCCCCCCCCGCCCCCCACTACCCCTCTCTTGCGTGGTTGTCACAAATGGTTGACACAGGGGGGACTGTGCTGGAGTTAGGATCTAAAAATAAATTTCTTGGGTTGAACAGGCTTACAGAGGCGAGAAGGTGGAAGCGGGGGGAGGGGGGAGGTCACGTTTTTATAAAAATATTTATTTTAATAACATTGAACATTTTTAATTAAATCGGACTTTGGCGATATCTCTAGATGAATACAAAAATAAAGGAGAACATTTTATCCTCTCTCGATTAAAGCAGTTAAAGAAAAAAAAATGTAAAATTTACTTATACAAGGTGTGTGATCAAAATTTTAAACCCCACCTGAATTTGCATTGATTGAACTAGTCAAGCAATTGTCGATTTCATTTGATGATGAAGCAGAGCATACGGTAAGATGCCGCTTAATGAAAATTTTCTTTTCTGGATCGACCATTACATAGTACGAATCTGCATGAAAAAAAACGAAGTTAATTGAATGACTTGAAATGCTGTGAATATCTAACTATGACAGTAAGTGCTTGTCCTCACTCCCATTAGTGTAAATTTAGATGGGGAAAATTTTTTGGTATGCTGTACGCGCCCAGATTGGTGACTTAAACAGCTGCAGCAATCACAGCTACAGCTACATCAATCACAGCTATATCAATCACAGCTATAGCAATCTTATCTAAAGCGGTCACAGCTACAGCAATCACAGCTACAGCAGTCACAGCTACAGCAGTCACAGCTAGTATCATCTTCAATCTGCTGGAGATTATCACCACACCAAGATCATGCTCTAGTGTACGTCCCTGTTTTATGTTGCCTACTTTCCCATACAACTTTAACAGATACCTGGATATAGCTCCCTATTGCAGTGAATGGATTTAAACCAAAGTAATAAGGATTAAGCTATTGATACTTATTGCCCCCCCCCCCCATTCTCGCTTGGAGGATGTGGTACACTGTGTCTGCATAATGAAAGAAGTAGACTAAATGTTAAGATAGAGCTACTAAGTACAACTAGATCTAGTACTAATTATAATATATCTAATAGCTGTTAGTTCATATATCTAGATACTAGTTTCGTATGGGAAAGTCGAATTGAGAAAAATCTTTGCACTACATTAACCTTCAGTATCCACTTTAAAACTCTTGAACAAAATAAACGTTACTTTAATTTATTTTTGCTTTCAATGAAACGAGTTTTATTCACTTGCTAGGCGAGTTAAATGTGTCAGTTTATTTAAGCCTTGAAACGGAAATAGTGCTTGATTTTACTGTCATATTGTGGAATATTTAATGAGCATTTTAAAAAATTATATTTATAAAAACTCAGCAATTATCCAAACAATCACATGGAATGTAATTTTCAGGCATATGAACTTCCAACAACTTTCAGGCATATGAATTTCCAACAACTTTCATGCAACGTAGACTAAAGAACCTGGACTTCCGCCAACAGCCATGTAAGCCTCAGGACTGCTATCTCCCATACGGCATCTATTTGGACTGAGACTACATTTTGTGGATTCTCCACCTAATCCGTGCTCGTCTGGGCCACACTTGCCTGTTTTGTATAATAATTATTGGAGAATTATATATGTATATAGGCCCATATATATATATATATATATATATATATATATATATATATATATATATATTTATATATATATATATATATATATATATATATATATATATATATATATATATATATATATATATACGGATGATAAAGCAATAAAGCTTAGGAGCCTAAGGTGGTCACTTTGATTCGAAGCAGTTAAATGATAAACTGGGAGCATAGAGGAGAGAGATGGAAGAAGTGCAGGTTACTGGCAAGACCTGGCATGAATTAAAGTGGCTCGCCCAGGCGAAAATTTGTTGATGCCCTTTACTCCACACTGAGTGACGAGGATTAAGTAAGTACAAGTTAAACAGTAGAAATTAATTTTCAAAAAATATTTGTAGAAATTAAACTTTAGACTACCTCGTTTCATTTTTGAAGAACCCTTTTCAGCTTCTCGTACACAACAAGATGTATCTGTTTTAAAACAAATTTAGTGGATTTAATGTATTACTATTAATGTTTCGCACACCTAAGAATAAACAAGTTATAATATGTGCGTCACATCACTGTCGTTTCTAGTTTCTAAATGGGGAAAATATTTGGCAACATTGGAAACAGTACACGCTTCATACGAGCAACTTTTGCATTGGCAACAGTTGGCCTACATGTTATACACGATTGCTAAACACAACTGTAAACATAACGTGTACGGTCTTCTCTTCTGTACTAGATCTCGAGGACATAGGATGTCGCTGAGGCAACCCAGCTCTGTGGGTATCTGCAAGATTACGCCTAAAACGAGATTATCCCGACTCCTTAGGGTGCACTACTGCTCACTTGGTAACGTCTTGTTGTATCTGGATTGGTCTACTGTAACAGGCAAGTTGTACTCTATGTCCTTCTTGCACTCTAGCAAAGTGCTCTAGTTGATTTCATGTGCAGTATATAAACTTAATACTGAATTACTGTATCCATATGAGAGAATCACTGTTTGCAGACGTGAACCAAATTATTCTATGTACAAATAGAGAAAAGAAGAACTTTAGTGAGAATCAAAACTTAATACGTTACCTTCTCAAAGCAATATATTCACATTCCTCTTCATTAACATGGCTAAAGGGTTCTTCCCATTTTGATCAAAATCACCTCCCTTCAAATCATCGTATCTGTCTATACATGTTGCAAAGTAAGAGAGCTTTTACAGTTTAAAATGATGTCCTTTCAACCCACCGCCTACTAGTATACACAATTCCTTGAAAAAAAAAGCAAGATATTTATAAAAGTGATAAAATAAGTTTTTCTAGCCCCCCCCCCCCCCTTTTCAGCCTGTCATCTCTTTAAACAGATAGATCATCATTAAAAGAGTTGAATACCCCCCCCCCCACACACACACACACGCATGGTAGAATAGTAGGCACGTGTCTACACAATTTAGGAAAATGTTAAATGTGAAAGCTCGGTAAACTGTGCTGTCTTAGCACATCCACCGCTCTGAGCTTAGCACATCCACTGGCTCTGAGTTTAAATGAAAACTGCGGTTGTTTTCTATGGTTTAAAACCCGTTTAACGGGCGCGAGCGAGTTAACTCCTCCCATCATGTTAATGACAAGGATTAAAAACGTGCTTTTTTTTAGATTTAGTAAACAAAGCGACCGTAAAAATAAAAACGTAAGCTTAAAATTAATTCAGAAATTTTAAATTTTTAGAATCAATGCTATAAAAGTTGCAACTCCAGAGAACTTGAAAATAATTTGTTGAGTTTAAGGCTACATTTTTATTTATTTTCACTTTCGTAAGACAAATATTGTCTCCGTGATCGACAACTCTTTGTTTACAAAACTTTGCAGAAACAGTTTTTAAAAAAACAATGCAAATTTAGACCCCATGACATAGTTTTCCTTTGTTTTCGCTTACAATGTTTACAATAAATTTTATGGCAGCCTATCAAATAGCAGGATGAAATTGTTTATGTCGCCATTACACGTGAAAACCAAATAATTTTTGCTTTTTTATTTTTAATTTAGTTACCAAAAATATTAAAAACATCAAATACATTCAATCTTCAGTAAAGTCCGAAAAAAACCAGACTGACAGGATTGTATAACCATATTAATTGTAACTAAGCCTTGCACGATTTTTAAATTAATTAATGGGCTTCTCGAATACCTTCTCGCTCGCGTCCATTAGTGATTAGTTGGACAGTATGACTCAATATTTTTGGACGTTTGGAAGAAGTCTGAATTACATGGTACATGAACTATAAGAAATCTGTTCATGTTAAATATTGAGTAAAATTACGATAGAGCGTCGGTTATTATTCCGGAATTGTACAGCAGTAAAAAAAAGTAAAGCCATGGCGTAGTCTCCCGAGCCGTTCCGGAAACCACCGAAAATACTGTAAACCATCATTTATTTGCCGCCATATTATTTTTAATACATAATGTTTTAAAATGTGCATGGATTGATTTTGATTGCATTTTAAATACTGTTTTGCTAATTATTTTGTATTTCTATTTATTTTAAGTGTATGTGCTAATTATTGCTGCAACTGAACATTGTTCTAGTTCTTCTCTACTTTTAATTATAGTAAATCTAATCGTCTTATTTTACTAAATCTAGATGTAGTTGTCGCAAATCTTCTGCAAGTTTTTTTTTTTTGTTTCTTTATTAAAAAGAGATTAATTACTACACTTGACTTTATTAATAATATTCAGATTTACTAATTGTTGCTCATTTTCTGTCAATTAAACATAAAATTAAGTTAAACATTAGTTTAATGCGCTAGACTTTATTCTTATTTCAACGGTCAAATAAACTATGGTTTACAGCAGGGGTCTCCAAACTTTTCAGCCCGAGGGCCGCATTAACTATTAAATATCCGTTCGGGGGCCAAAGTTTCTTTAAGGCATCTCATCAGGGTCGTGGCGCCCCCCCCAACCGAAGAACTTTACCGCCCCCCCCCACCCCCCTCCCAACGAAATATAATTTATATAGAAATATATACAAATTTCAAGTGTCAACCCCCCCCCCCCCACCCAACCCGAGGTCCACGTTTGTTCTGAAATTGTTCTTCACGTATTTCATTCTTGAAAATGTTTGTTCACACAGGTATGTTGTTCGAAAATTTGAAAGGTACTTTGATGCAAAAGTTTTAATATTAGGAAAGTCTTCCTTGTGCAAAAACATATGAACGTGTCTCTAAGGAAGTAATTTTCTTGCAATTCAATGACCTCCAGCTGCAGTTCATCTTTGCAACTGGCCACATTTGCTTCAAATGGGCTTTGAAACAGACTCACTTCTTCTGCCTTTGAATCCAAGTCAGAAAACCGCTACTGAAACTGCAGCTGGAGGTCTTTAATGATCTCGGATGTAAATGACGTCGGGAACTCAGTGGTTGCTTCAGCCGTAAAGACCTTGCACTGCTGAGAATGTGTCAAGTTGTTAGCTTGTACTTGTTCCAAAAACATGACAAGTTTGTATCTAAAGGCCTTTATGTGGGTGTATAAATAAGAAACTAGATTTCACTCTGTTGCCGTTTTAGGTTCAGAAAATTTTAATGACTAGTTATGTCTGCAGCGGCCAATTTCTATACGCACTCTTCATCAGACAATAATGGCTGTGACTTGCCTTTACTATTAGGAAGTCATCTATTTCTTTTCTTAGATACTCTGCTCATAATTTTCTCGCAAAATTAGTAATCTTACTGATATGAAATATGGTAAATCTTGCGATTTTGTGTTTGTCTCTGAACTATCTATGGTTAGATATCCTCTTCGGTAACAGTGTCATACATTATATGTAGGGAAGCCAGCACTTGTGTTATGTTCAGGTCTTCATCCACACCTCTAATAAACACAAGAAGCTGATAGGTGGAACAGCTGCCCAGCGACTCATCGATTGCAATTGAAAAATGGCGAAACTGGCTTGAATTTTTCGCTATTTGAGTCTGCAACACGGCGAGTAATTCTATTTGCACCCAAAGCTACATTTTCAAATAGTTTTGAATTTTCTGTGCAAAGCTCCTCAGCCACCTCCAACACACATTTATTCATTGGACAAAAAGATCGTCGCGGGCCGGATAAAATGAACTCGCGGGCCGCATCCGGCCCGCGGGCCGTAGTTTGGAGACCCCTGGTTTACAGTAACGAATGTTCCCGAAACTCAACAAACATTACCAGATAATTTCCGACGCTATATCGTGAGATTACCAAACATCGTTTGTAAAGTTAACATATGTATTTTATTACCATGTAAACCTCTGGCCGATCGAATTTTTAAAATTTAAATGGATGTTCTCATTAATATCACTTTAAATGTTGTTCGTGGACAAGATGATGGAAATACAACTGTTCATTTCCGCGTACCGCGCAAATCAGAACTAGTGCTCCCTTTTCAAATCATAGTGTGCAATCTTAATCACACACATGGTGTGCAACCTTAAACATAAACGTGTAGGCTTTGAGCTCGCAGTGGAGAATCCATGATGTTGGTGTAAAATGTGATACAAATAAAAATAGCAAATCATTTTTTTAAAAACTCACCGGCAATGTGTCATTGTTTGATCTAATGTTGTTGATCTAATGTGTAGCTACGATACGTTTAGTAACACAACTTCATGTGCGCGCCAGCTGATCTTTTAATTCACGATGGAAAACTACCCTAACACATAAGAGAGTGCCTAGAACTCAGTCAATCAGTTCAAACAATCCACAAGTAGAACAACAGAAGCTGGCTGATCTTACCAGAAGGTTGCAGGTTTCCTGACTCCCCATCTTCTTTCCAGTTTGTGTATGAACTAGTCAGGTTTGATCTTGTGTTGTGTATTAACTAGTCAGGTTTGATCTTGTGTTGTGTATTAACTAGTCAGGTTTGATCCTGTGTTGTGTATCAACTAGTCAGGTTTGATCTTGTGCTGTGTATCAACTAGTCAGGTTTGATCTTGTGTTGTGTATCAACTAGTCAGGTTTGATCCTGTGTTGTGTATCAACTAGTCAGGTTTGATCCTGTGTTGTGTATCAACTAGTCAGGTTTGATCTTGTGTTGTGTATCAACTAGTCAGGTTTGATCCTGTGTTGTGTATCAACTAGTCAGGTTTGATCTTGTGTTGTGTATCAACTAGTCAGGTTTGATCTTGTGTTGTGTATCAACTCAACTAGTCAGGTTTGATCTTGTGTTGTGTATCAACTAGTCAGGTTTGATCTTGTGTTGTGTATCAACTTGTCAGGTTTGATCTTGTGTTGTGTATCAACTAGTCAGGTTTGATCTTGTGTTGTGTATCAACTTGTCAGGTTTGATCTTGTGTTGTGTATCAACTAGTCAGGTTTGATCTTGTGTTGTGTATCAACTAGTCAGGTTTGATCTTGTGTTGTGTATCAACTAGTCAGGTTTGATCTTGTGTTGTGTATCAACTTGTCAGGTTTGATCTTGTGTTGTGTATCAACTAGTCAGGTTTGATCTTGTGTTGTGTATCAACTTGTCAGGTTTGATCTTGTGTTGTGTATCAACTAGTCAGGTTTGATCTTGTGTTGTGTATCAACTAGTCAGGTTTGATCTTGTGTTGTGTATCAACTAGTCAGGTTTGATCTTGTGTTGTGTATCAACTAGTCAGGTTGGATCTTGTGTTGTGTATCAACTAGTCAGGTTTGATCTTGTGTTGTGTATCATATTGTCAGGTTTGATCTTGTGCTGTGTATCAACTAGTCAGGTTTGATCTTGTGTTGTGTATCAACTAGTCAGGTTTGATATTGTGTTGTGTATCTACTAGTCAGGTTTGATCTTGTGTTGTGTATCATATTGTCAGGTTTGATCTTGTGTTGTGTATCAACTAGTCATGTTTGATCTTGTGTTGTGTATCTACTAGTCAGGTTTGATCTTGTGTTGTGTATCAACTAGTCAGGTTTGATATTGTGTTGTGTATCAACTAGTCAGGTTTGATCTTGTGTTGTGTATCAACTAGTCAGGTTTGATCTTGTGTTGTGTATCAAATAGTCATGTTTCATCTTGTGTTGTGTATCTACTAGTCAGGTTTGATCTTGCGTTGTGTATCAACTAGTCAGGTTTGATATTGTGTTGTGTATCAACTAGTCAGGTTGGATCTTGTGTTGTGTATCAACTAGTCAGGTTTGATCTTGTGTTGTGTATCATATTGTCAGGTTTGATCTTGTGTTGTGTATCAACTAGTCAGGTTTGATCTTGTGTATCAACTAGTCAGGTTTGATATTGTGTTGTGTATCTACTAGTCAGGTTTGATCTTGTGTTGTGTATCATATTGTCAGGTTTGATCTTGTGTTGTGTATCAACTAGTCATGTTTGATCTTGTGTTGTGTATCTACTAGTCAGGTTTGATCTTGTGTTGTGTATCAACTAGTCAGGTTTGATATTGTGTTGTGTATCAACTAGTCAGGTTTGATCTTGTGTTGTGTATCAACTAGTCAGGTTTGATCTTGTGTTGTGTATCAAATAGTCATGTTTCATCTTGTGTTGTGTATCTACTAGTCAGGTTTGATCTTGCGTTGTGTATCAACTAGTCAGGTTTGATATTGTGTTGTGTATCAACTAGTCAGGTTTGATCTTGTGTTGTGTATCAACTAGTCAGGTTTGATCTTGTGTATCAACTAGTCAGGTTTGATCTTGTGTTGTGTATCAACTAGTCAGGTTTGTTCTTGTGTTGTGTATCAACTAGTCAGGTTTGATCTTGTGTATCAACTAGTCAGGTTTGATCTTGTGTTGTGTATCAACTAGTCAGGCTTGATCTTGTGTATCAACTAGTCAGGTTTGATCTTGTGTTGTGTATCAACTAGTCAGGTTTGTTCTTGTGTTGTGTATCAACTAGTCAGGTTTGATCTTGTGTTGTGTATCAACTAGTCAGGTTTGATCGTGAGTAGCTAGGTTTCCCATGCTCTCGGATTTGTTGTGAGCAAGAGAATCAGTAAAACGTGCTTAAAGATTTACAAATGTAAATTGCCGACATTATATTTTGAATTTTTATTAAATGTAATGATGGTATGAAAGAAAACTCTTAAGTTAATTAATATATTAATAACATAAGATGATAAATATTGCTGGTTTTGCAATGTTTAATTTAAATTTCATAATAATAACTTAAATAACATTTCTTTTCATTGAAAGGTGATAGGTAGAAAGTCATAACAAATTGCGATTAACGAATACAACGCCAACATTTTGCATGGTTTAAGATTTTACTTAATAAACTCAACAAAACTAATATGATAATGCATTAGGGTAACAAACTAACGATATCACTACAATAAAAAAAAATGCTTAAGATTTAATGTTGAATTAGAATGTGCCAGGAAGTAATCTCATTTGTAAAATATTACCTTAAACACATCCACCCTGATATGTAATTGGAGAAACGACTTAAAACGCCATGAAAGAACATACTATTAAGTCACATGTCTGAACTCTAGAAAATCAATGATATCTTAATATTTACATATAGGACAAACGCATCATAGATTCCCGTAACTGCAGCAAGCTCTTCAGCTGAAATTTTGATCCACTTTCCTCTTTTTTACTTTCTCGTATATACGTAGTATAGAGAAAGTATTGTAATCGTGCAAAAAAAAAAATCGAGATTTTTACAAATCTCGACGTTTTACACCTCACTGATACGGAAAAACATAATTTTGCAATCTTATCCGTATGTCTGTGTGTGTGTGTGTCTGTCTGTCTGTCTGTCTGTCCGTGTGTAAACACGATAACTTGAGTACCGTTACAGCTAGGTTGATGAAATTTCATAAATAAGTATTTTATCAAAATCGTAGATCCGTATCAACTTTTGAGCGATTTCCGATAACCGGAAGTGGTACTTTTCCTACTTTGAATTTTTCAAAAGCCTATAACTTGAGTACTATTTCAGATAGATAAATGAAATTTCACATGTAAGTAAAAGATCTAATTCTCTACCTTCTGTTAAATTTTGAGTAATTTCCGTTGACTGGAAGTAGTAATTTACGCTACTTCCGATTTCTCAAAAAACTAATGTAAATTTTTAAAGTACTAATAATATTGCGCACTATTATACGCGTTTTTATTCGGCGTTTGCTTGGTGCGCAATGTTTTTTTTATGAGATTCTATTCTATTTTTAAAAGTTTAAGTATTTAAAATGGATTAAAAATCATAACTATATCCCCAGTTACCATCCCCTGTTGTTTTATATAAGAATATTCGAGAAAGTTTAGGGGAGATCACTACCGGTTTATTTCTAACTTTCTAAGTCTCGTCTTTCACACAGGTTTTCATATGTTTCTGTAGACTTGCCCCATTGTAATTCAGACATCATCTGTCTCCTTTCTGCTTCCCGTTGTCGCATTTGTTTCCTTATTTCAGCTCTTGCATCGGAAATCTTTAATTGTGGAGATTCCGTGTTTCTAATAATAGTCCCTGAAAATTCTTCCTATTTTTCCAGTGTGTCATGCACGGATGTAGTTAGACTCAGCATCCTGTTGCGTGGGATTACGTCTACTGTATCAATAGAGTTTGGTGTGGCTTGTCTTGGATGAACATTTGGGATCGCTGGTTGCACGGTCTTGACGGTTATACAAGGTTGTCTAGGTTCGGTGATGCGGTCTTTAGTTTTCTGGACATTCTTATAATTTGCTTCTGTATGTCGTCGATCACGAAACACTAACACATCGACTATTTCAATCAACTGGTCGATTTGTTCAGTTATTTTCAACTCGTCTTTGGTTTTGTTGTCAAACAATAAATATTAATTACACATGTGAGTAGAGTTTATGTTGCATTAATTTTCTGAACCGTTTTGAACACTGGGGGGGGGGGGGGGTTAAATGCTTCAACAATCAAATACTAATAGAAAATCCATTCAAACGTTTTATCTGTATTTATACGTCAAAGAGTGTACAATTTTACCAACATATGCACGATGGATACTTTGCTATAAACCTGCATGCAATTTTAAAACGTTACACTTTCTCCGGCAAAATTCGACCGTTACCATCGTTACGACTTATTGCAATTTTTTTCTCTCCTTGAAATAAACATTGATTATGATCGTGTAATTAATTTAACAGTTTATTTTGCGAATAGTTAAAACTTTATCTACAACTTTACATTTACTAGCGTATATTTACTTGAGTACTAACAGTTTATGTACTCACAACACCAAGATGGTAGGACTAGGTAAAACCTTAGTCGTAAATTCGATCAAAACTAGTAATGTGGGCGAGAGAGAATTAATGAATATCGCTTTAAATATGAGTATATTTGTAATGATTAAAGGTGGGGAAGGGGGGGGGGGGGTGGAAATCGACCACAGAGCTATATAAAAAATCCGGGAGTGATCTCCCCTAAACTTTCTCGAATATTCTTATATAAAATAACAGGGGATGGGAACTCGGGCTATAGACATGATTCTTAATCCATTTTAAATACTTAAAGTTTTAAAAATAGAATAAAATCTCGTAGACAAATTAATTGCACACCAAGTGAACGCCAAATCAAAAAGCGCATAATAGTGCGCAATATTATTAGTACTTTTAAAATTTACATTAGTTTTTTGAGAAATCGAAAGTAGCGTAAATTACTACTTCCGGTCAACGAAAATTATTCAAAATTTAACAGAAGGTAGAGAATTAGATCTTTTACTTACATGTGAAATTTCATTTATCTATCTATAATAGTACTCAAGTTATAGGCTTTTGAAAAAATTCAAAGTAGGAAAAGTACCACTTCCGGTCATCGGAAATCGCTAAAAAGTCGATACGGATCTACGATTTTGATAAAATACTTATATATGAAATTTCATCAACCTAGCTGTAACGGTACTCAAGTTATCGTGTTTACACACGGACACACAGACAGACAGACAGAGACAGACAGACACACAGACATACAGACAAGATTGCAAAATTGTTTTTCCGCATCAGTGGGGTGTAAAACGTCGAGATTTGTAAAAATCTCGATTTTTTTTTTTTTGCACGATTACAAGACTTTCTCTATACTTCGTATATACGAGAAAGTAAAAAAACGAATGAAAGCTGAAAGCAAACGAAGCGGTTACAGAAAACTGTAGTATTCAAATAATTAAGGATGTTTTGATAGTAAAAGCCAACCATTTAGCCTTTAGTTAGGCCTAAATGGATCACCAATGAATGACGTCATTCTTTTGCAGCGTGTCTTTCCCCCACAACAATCCCCCAGTTTTCAACACACGAAAAAACTTGACTTCTCAAAAATCACATCGCTGAGTTGTACTCAACCTCTTCCCACCACAAATTACAATTTCTATCTAAAACAATATGTTCATCATTATATTTGTTCTGTAATAGTGCACGCTGTCATAACCCTGGATAAGCGACGTCATTTATGGGCGATCTAATATTGGTTGGATTACTGCAAAAAGAGTTCAAAACAATCGTTGTTGTCTTGTATGGACAGTAATAAGTCTGAAAAGGTCTATTAGCCATTTATTTCAACTATATTGAAAAATAAAGGAAACTTACTATACAGCCTTATATTAAAACAATACAAAACAACCGTTTAAAACCACAAAATCTACACAACATACATGCGAATAGACAATTTTTGAAGGGAAACTATTTTATTATGGTTTTTGAAACACGGCCGCTGCTCGTATTTACTCATTATTGTCTCGAACAGGGTGGTGTAAAGTTGATTCCAGGATACTTTTGACGGTTTTGATCTTGAATTGTGATTTATTATTCTATTATCTGTTATATTATGTAAAATATGGCTTAAATATGGCCAAATGAAAAAAGTATTCACTATATACAACCACAACACATTACTAGCTTCGTTGGAATTTACTAAGGTAAATTTACTAAGGTTTTACCTAGGACTATATGGTAGATGTCCTCACCCACACATATATTAGTACTGTATAATTAATGTACTTGCCAAAGCCCGTTTAGTAGGTCTATAAATTCGACTTGTTACCCCTCCCCCCATCCCCCACTACAGAAAAACTGCGTGGCTAATCTACACAACTTAATTATTTAGGTTAAATATTGTGTTCGGGTTGTGTATCAACTAGTCAGTTCTGAACTTGTGTTTAGGCTATAGATCAACATGTCAGGTTTGATCGTTGATACCCGGGTCTCCCTGACTATTGATGCTCTAATGTGTACCTGCCACAAAGATACTTGAACACCGTAAAAGTTATTCAAAACCTTGCATGGTGGTCTATTTCACAGCTTCCAGCATCGCGTCTGTATCCATACAGAGATGTACAAGGATACCGACGAAAACATTATTTTAAAATAATTTCTAGCGTTTCTTAATGTAAAATATTTATAAAAAATTTATTTTATCCTAATATTTCCAACAAGCTATAATTTACAAATTCGATTTTGTAATGTTTGCCAAAATTTTTATTGATTAGTTATTCGATTAAATGATTATATACGTGGAGCTAACAATGTATTTTAATATCCAGCCTAAAGAGTTTTCTTTAGCTAACTCTGTTCTTTAATAAGTCATCCTCTCATACACAATTCTTTAGCCCAATATTTCACGACAACTGAAGTTTAAATCACTGCCTTCTTTCATCCACCCTGAGGATTAACAATTAATGTGAAATCGATGTTTTGAATTAAGTAAATGTAAACTAGTGTGACTGTGATAACCGTGCTCGAGGGTCCACTGTGAATTAATGTAATACCTATAAAGTAATAAAGTTCAACACCAAACAGGTGCTAACATTTCAACCATAAGGCCAAATAGAAGGAAACAAAGAAAAATAAATTTATTGCAACGGTTTTGATACTTTTAAAAACACAGTCTAGACTGTAAGAGTACTGTCTGCTTTATATGTCAATTAATTAACTCTGAACGGAACTGATTTTTATAAAATGGTGAATTAGGAAAATAAACATTTTCTTTACAATATTTAAGAAAGAAAATAAGTTAATTTGTTTTTTTGCAAACAGGCAACTATTTTAATTATAACATGAGAAAAATAACTCCGCCGCCTTAACAACACATGCGTTATTGTGCCAACACCGGTATAAAGTAACGGAACTTTTACTTACAAAGCTCATAAGTGGCACACACTGGAATTCTTAAATGAACTTAAGACAATCGCTGACTTAAGTCAACTGAACTTAAGTCATTCGCTGACTTAAGTCACCTGAACTTAAGACAGTTTCTGACTTAAGTTTATCTGTGCATTCTCCACCTGCTTCAGTTCTTCCTGTACCTGTTTCAAGCTTTACAAAAGATTATTTTTGACGTCAAACGTTCCCTCTCCGTGCTCCGTGTCTCGCCTCTCTTGCACCAGATCTTCAAACCTCTTCTGATGATTGCGTTCTATTTCACTCCATTGCTGCTCATCACCTTTTAAGTCGTCAATTTGAATTTCAAAAACCTCCCTTTGATTTTTCAGCTCTTTATCGAAGACCTGTTTCATTTCTTCTTCCTGTTGTCGACTTTGTTGTATTTCTTCAATACACCTACGAGAGAAAGCGCTTTCGTCAGAAAACTTTTTTTGTAGAGATTCCAAGGTCTGAGTCAGGTCTTGAAGAGCTCCAGAAAATTCTTCCTGCTTGGTCAGTATGACCTGAACAGTATTGGTTTGACTCAACATCTTGTCAAGTGTGACTAAGTCTACTGCCCCTTGTTCCAATACCTCTGCTGTCTCTCGATACTCGCCATCTTTGTCTCGCATTCTCTGCTCAATTTCTTCAAATTTTTTCTGGAAACTCTCTTCGATTTCTTGTTGTTTTTTCTTAATAAGTTCGAGTCCTTTAATCAGATTTCCGTATTCCTCACTTTTATCTTTCAGCTCGAATGCCAATTTGGGTGGAGAATCTGGGCAGTCAAGTGGTGAATACGTAACAGGCATACTTTGGCTACTTTCACATGACACCAAGTCTTCATTCTGAATACGGCTGTTGGTGACTTGTGTCAGCTCGACTTCTGGTCTAGTTTCATCCTGGATCAGATTTTGGATCTGAATTTTTTCAAAGCTCTTGTTGGTATAGCGGCGAGCGCTAAGTAACTCATCGACTTTTTTAATTAGTTTTTCGATTTGTTTGATTACTACATGTTTGACCTGAGTGCTGTTGTCGAATAAGATGATCCTATTCTCACATTCTTCTATCAAATCTTTAAAGGCGCCGTCTTGTTTTTCGCACCATTGGGGGAAGGTCGTTCTCTTGTCAACCTTTCCACGATGTTCTTGCTTGAAAATATCCCCACAGGAAATAA